TTTTGTTATATCTTTGGAATTGGTTGTGGCCATTGGAAAAATTGTGATATGAATTGATTTTGTTATGTTGCCGGGATAATATTTCGTATAAATTATTGTGTTATTTGAGTTATTATTTTGAGGATATAAGGGTGGCATTTCACTGTTGATATTATATGGGTATAAGGGTGGCATTTCACTGTTGTTATGTGTGTTGGGATATTGTCTGGGCGGAGCGATAAGGGTGGCTATAGGAGAGATAAGGGTGGCTATAAGAGCGATAAGGATGGCTATTGATATTGTCAGGGCGGAGGGATAAGGGAGGCTATTATAGGAGTGATAAGGGTGTCTATAAGAGTGATAAGGGTGACTATTAATATTGTCAGGTCGGAGGGATAAGGGGGGCTATTATAGGAGTGATAAGGGTGGCTATAGGAGAGATAAGGATGGCTATTATCAGGGATGATATGTGATGATGTGGGGTTATTACGTTGGTAATTTTCATGTGATGATGTGGGGTTATTGCGTTGGTAATTTTCATGTGATGTTGTGATTTTCCTTGTGTTCATTTTTATACCTTGTGCAGTTTGACTTGTTGTTGGTAAATTGATAATAGTCTGATCTATGTTGAAATTGGGAGCCTGTGGTTATTGCCAGGTGGATTATGAAATGAAATGTGGGCACGAGGTGCTGTGAATAAATAATGATGATATTGGCACGTGAACTGTCCATGCAGTTGTGATATGAAATATGGGAACAAGGTGCCGTGAGTAAATAATGATGATATTGGCACGTGAACTGTCCATGCAGTTGTGATATGAAATATGGGAACAAGGTGCCGTGAGTAAATAATGATGATATTGGCATGTGAACAGTCCGTACAGTTGTGATATGAAATGTGGGTACGAGGTGCCGTGGGTAAATAATGATGATATTGGCACATGAATTGTCCGTGTAGTTGTGATATGAAATGTGGGTACGAGGTGCCGTGGGTAAATAATGATGATATTGGCACATGAATTGTCCGTGTAGTTGTGATATGAAATGTGGGCACGAGGTGCCGTGGTCGAATGAATGATGATATTTGGCACGTGAGTTGTCCGTGTGGTTGTGATAGAGAAATTGGCACGAGGTGCCGTGGAAATATAAAAGTAGGCTGAGACCCGTATTTTATGATTTTGAAATGCTGTGTCACATGGTGACTTTTATTCGAAAGAGATTTAGTTGAAAGAATTTTATTTGAAAAATATTTATTTGAAGGAATTATATTTGAAAGAGATTGAAAGATATTTATTTGAAAGATATTTATTTGAAAGTATTATATGCTGAAAATTTCTATTTGAAAAATATATAGGCGAAAGATTTATATTGGAAGGACTTGATTAATTGGTTGTTCTTGTATTTATTATTTGTTGCACAATATTTATGGTGTTCTTGTCGCCCTGCTGTATATATCACTGGTTGATTATTGTTGCCATCATTGTTATTTATTTTCTATTATTTTTGTATACAATATTGCACAGGTTATTAGATTGGTGAGTGTCTCGACTGTATATCATCACTACTCCACTGAGATTAGTCTTGATACTTACTGGGTACCGACCGTGGTGTACTCATACTACACTTCTGCACATGTTTGTGCAGAGCCAGGTATTGGAGCTATCGGACTCGGATAGAGTTAAAGTGTGATCACAAGGATTCAAGGTAGATCTGCTTGGTCGTCGTAGCCCCTTGAAGTCTTTCCATTTTATTGTACTGTTAATTATTAATCAAACAGTATTGTGTATTCGATCCTTGAGATCATTTCATGTATTCAGTTAGAGTTCGTGACTCAGTATTACCAGTCTTGGGAGGTTGTTATATTTGTTTCCGCTTTTGGTTTCAAAAAAAATTGGCTCGAAATGTAATTGTAATCAGCTTACCTAGTCTTAGAGACTAAGTGCCATCACGACGCCTGTGGTGGGATTTTTGGGTCGTGACAGAAGACATACCGGACCATCTATCAAACGTAAAAGAAGTTCAAAGACTCACAGGGAGATTGACCGCTTTGAGCAGGTTCATTTCCCAGTCTTCAGAGAAATGCCACTGTTTCTTTGCGCTGCTCAAAAAGAAGAACAACTTCGAATGGACCCCAGAATGTCAGCAGGCTTTGAGGGATTTGAAAAGGTACTTGCCAAGTCCTACGACTCCGTTACTATCGAAGCTGGAGGGTGGCAAAAAATTGTTAATCTACCTAGCAGTCTTAGAGGTAGCGGTAAGCGCCGTTTTAGTCTGTGAGGATGAAGGTATGCAATCTCCTATTTATTATGTTAGTAGAATTTTAATCGGACCAGAAACTCGCTACCTGTATTTGGAGAAGCTAACCTTAGCTCTTGTAGTCGCCGCTCAGAAGCTAAGGCCTTGTTTCCAATGTCACCGATAGCTGTGGTGACCACCTTTCCCCTGCGGAATATCCTTCATAAACTCGAACTCTCGGGTAGGTTGGCCAAATGGGCCGTCGAAATGAGTGAATTTGACATAGAATATAAACCTAAGACTGCTATTAAGTCACAAGTTTTGTCCGACTTTGTGGCCTATTTTAGTCTGGGGGTTTGATGCCTCTGGCAACCAAATAAGCAGTGATGGTGACAGAATTGACATCAGGAGTTTGGACCCTATTTACGGACGAAGCTTCCAACATAAAAGGGTCCAGGCTTGGCATAGTATTAACCACGCCTTCGGGAGATACCCTAAAATAGGCCATAAGAATAGTCCTTTTGACTAAAAATGAAGCGGAGTATGAAGCTTTGATTGCAGGACTCGAATTGGCCCGGGGACTAGATTTCGAGGTCATAGAAATCAAATATGACTCGCAGCTAGTGGTAAATCAGGTCTACGGGATCTTCGAAGACAAAGAGGAGCGCATGCAACAATACGTAGTGAAGGTTCAGGCTCTGCTTGCTCGATTCCGGGAGTGGTCAATTACGCATATCCTTGGAGGAATGAAATCATTGATTATCTCGAGCATGGTAAGTTTCCTGAAGACCCAAGGCATCCCGGGTGTTGCGCGCTAAAGCAGCACTATATAGCTTCAAAGGAGGCAATTATACAGGAAATCTTTCCAAGGCCCTCTGGCCCGATGCTTGGGAGCCTCCGAAGCTAACTATGCTATGCAAGAAGTCCACGATGGGATATGTGGAAATCATTCGGGTGCAGATTCCTTGGTACTAAAGTTGTTAAGGGCAGGATACTACTGGCTCCGAATGGAACAAGACGCCAAAGCTTTCATACAGAAATGCGATAAGTGTCAACGCTACGCGCCATTGGTGCATCAACTAGCAGAACCATTGCACTCAGTTTTGTCACCATGGCCGTTCATGAAGTGGGGAATGTATATCGTCGGGCCACTTCCGTCGTCCCCTGGTAAGGTAAGATTTCTTTTGATTTTAACTGACTATATTTCTAAGTGGGTAAAAGCAGATCCTTATCAAAAGATCGGCGAAAGTGAAGTGGTGAATTTCTTGTGAGAGAATATAATTTGCAGATTTGAAATACCAAAAGAGACAGCCTGCGATAATGGGCCACAATTTATAGGCGCAAAGGTCACAAATTTCCTTGAAGATTTGAAAATCAAAAGTATCACATCTTCGCCCTATCATCCGAGCGCAAATGGTTAAGCGGAATCAACGAACAAATGATTATACAAAATCTCAAAAAGAGATTGGAAGCAGCTAAAGGTAAATGGCCCAAGGAACTGCTTGGAGTACTATGTGTGTACTGAACAATGGACAAATCGAGCATAGGAGAGACTCCTTTCTCCCGTGTATACAGAGCAGAAGCCTTGATCCCGGTGGAAGTAGAGGAGCCTACCTTGAGATACTTCCAGGCAAATGAAGAAGCAAACAAAGAAGCAATACTAGTCAATTTGAAGCTGCTCGATGAGCGCAGGTACTTGGCGCATATAAGGATGGCATCTCAAAAGTAGAGAATAGAAAGACATTATAATAGAAGAGCCAACTTCCGTTATTTCAAAGTGATAGATTTGGTTTTAAATAAAGTAACTCAAAACACCCGGGAACTCAATGCAGGGAAGCTAGGTTCAATATGGGAAGGCCCCTACCGGGTTTCAGCTGACACCGGGAAAGGTTCATACGGGTTGGAGAATCAAGATGGAGAAAAGTTGCCAAGCAATTGGAATGTGGCACACTTCAAAAGATACTATTGCTGATGAACACCACATGTACTGAAAGTATGTGTTGTACTCTTGTTCTCTTCATCCATTTTTTGTCCCAATCGAGTTTTTCTGGCAAGTTTTTTAACTAGGCAGCAACGGAAATCATACTACGAAGAAGGTTTCAGCAGCAACAATAAGACCTTTTAGTAACAAGGCACACACACGAAGAACTATTCCAGAGTGGTTAGATAATCTTTTGCTCGGTAGCAAGGTTCCACCGGGAAGTTAAGTTTGCTACCTAACAAAGGTTACCCGACCGTTCAGAAGTACAAGTCACTAGGGGATTGTTAGATAGTCTTTGGATTGATAACATAAATTCCTAAGGGGAAGAGAAGTTTGTTACCAAACTGAAGATTATCTAGCAATTCATTAGTGGAATCCTCCAAGGTGCAAATGTTCCAGTGTTCAAATTCACATTCTTTGCATTCGAACACTAAGGGGATGATATGAGGATACGGCAACAATGACTGCCATGTCGACCGGAATACGAAAACCAAAAACATAGTTATATCATTAGGACCGGTGACTGTGCGGCCAGCCCCGTAGAAACAAGTTGTACAAGTTAGCCACAAGAAATGACAATTTCTTTTTAGCATAACGAATGCTTATGTACTTTTTGAAAATGGAAGGAATAAAGTAAAGTCCTTTTATTTCTATCTTGTTTCTTGTCTGAACGATGAATTGATTTTGTCATTTGAAAGTTAAACAAGTACATCAAATACTAGTATTGTAATGAACAGTATACTTCCTCTTCAAGAGCACCATAAACATAAGAGGGCCCTTTGAGTGAAGGTGCCACTTTGCATAGTTAAAGTTGTTGTTGCTGATCCAGCTGCTGCTGCTGATGCACTTTCACTAGTTCCAATATTCCACATGCTTCTGTTGATGAAGCATTTTCAGTAGTTTCATCTCCAATTGAACTAGTTCCAGCACTTCCCCCTTGATTTCTCTGCATACAAATAACAAAGCAAATATTAGTAATTGAATTCATCTGATAATGAGCACAAAGAACATTAATACTTACTGTTGATGGACATTCTTTCTTGTTATGTCCAAGAGTCTTGCACAAAAAATATCTCATTTGTCTCCCTATCCTTGTACCCTTCCCAAACTTCTTTTTTGGTTCATCAATAGGTTTTCTTCTTTTTTTCTTTGGCCTTCCTAGCATTGCAGTTATAACAGGTGGCTCAATAGCTGGAAGTGTGCTTTTTGGCCACAAATTCATACTAGTTAAAGGTTGAATGAATATGATGTATGCCTTAAGGTAGGTGTCTTCCCTATACCAATGGCCAACATATGGCTCAACCTTATAGTTCTTATAATGTATTGATGTAATTGCATGTGCACATGGAATTTCTTTGAGTTACCATGATCTACAAGTACAAGAACACCTCCTAAAGTCAACAATATGTTTATATGGCCCATCCTGGATCTCATACCCTGTTTCACCATCAAATTTGACTTCACATTTTGCTGCCCTTTGAGCATTATCTCCAAGCATTTTCATATCCATGGGTGATATATCACCTACCCATTTTCTAGAAAACTCTCTCATGCTATTCATCCTCTCCATACACTTGATTCTAATTTTTTCTAACATAGTAATGATAGATTTGTCCCTAGCTGTCAATATCCAACTATTGAATGTCTCATACATGTTGTTCTCCACTACATCATACTTACTATGTTCTTTGAAGTATGTCCTATACCATGTCTTCTTGTTGTATTTCAGTAAGTCTTGAACAATATCTCCACCCAGCTGGTCCATTTCATCCACCTTCTTGCTAAAGTAAACTTCAAATGTAGCTCTTGCACACTGCCAGAATTTTTTCCTTCTTTCCTCGCCAGGCCAAGTTTGCTTCCAATTAGCCCAGATATGTCTAGCACACCACCTCATCTCAGAATTTGGCAATAACTAAGTTATTGCTAGATAAAAACTCTACAATCAACAATATTATATTGTTATAACTTAAATATAAATGAAAACAATTACATTTTAAAGACAAAGTGTTAGAAACCATACCTTCTGCATATCAGACATAATTGCCAACCCTTCTCCTTCAGTTTCTGTCAAGTTCAGATCATGCTCGAGACATCTGATAAACTAAGACCATGTATCCTTTGATTCCTTTTCAACTACTGCCCAAGCCACATGGTACATTTAATTATTTTCATCCTTAAAAATGCAGGAAAGCAGTTCACCTTTACATATTCCCTTTAGGAATGCACCATCAAAGCCAATTATATTTCTGCACCCTTCTAACCATCCAGTTTTTAATTCTTCAAGACAAATATAAATGCCCATAAACACCTCCTTGCTAGGTTCTGCATTCGTAGATGTCCTTATCACTGCAGTAGTGCCATGATTAGTAGACTTTAGCATTTCAACATAATCATGAAGCCTAGCAAATTCTTTCTTGTAATCACCCATATTTCTCCTTCATAACTATCATTTTTGCTCTTCTGCATGAAGTTTAACTCACATACAGACCATATGCTTTCCTAACTAAGGCTTGAATTTGATGAAGCTTAATTTGAGGCTCACTGATTATTCTGTCTTTGAAATATTTTACAATCCATGGTAGGTTACACATCTTGTTCCTTGTCTTCTTCTAGCATTTGTGGACAGGGTAGTATGTAATCACCCTAAAATTCCTAGTGCTACCTTCTATGCTGCCAAGAATATGCCATGTACGACCTTTCTTTGTGCAGTTTGCCCTAACCCTTTCCCTCTTATTAGGTTTCAACTTAAGGTTCACACTTTTTTGAATAGAATAGGTCTGCAATGCCTCCCTAACCTGTACAACATTCTCAAATATCATATACAATTCAAATAATATTTTTTTTGCAACTTGTGTCAAAATAGAACTTCTTACTTGGATTCCTAACTGGTACATCCCTTACTTCATTAGGTCCAACAAGTTCTTTTTCATCATTACTACACTTACTACCTGGATCTGAGCTATCAAAATACTGGTCATCCCCTCCTAGTTTCCCTTCATATTTTTTCCTTTTGTTCTTATGCATATCTTCAAAACCAGAATCTATACCAACTGGACCAGATGGTATCTCATCTACATTTACTTGGGCATCCTTATTTTTGTTGATTTTAGACTATCTAATTTCAGGTGAGTCATCTTCCAAATCACTACACTCTTCAATGTTCTCATCAATATCAAACAGTGAGTCAGACTCTTCAAAATCATCAAAGTCTTCATCAAAATCAGATTCTGATGTTTGAAGGTGATAGGATGAGAAGTTATTACCTTCACCTTCATCTGATTTTTCTATTTCTCCATTTAAATCTACCCCCTTACCCTTATCTTTGTCATTTTCAGTCCTATTTATATCATTATTGGGAGGTGACACATCAGCCCTAGCATTTAACCCACTGTCATGCCCAAGTATTTGTAGAGTGGGGTCCAGTTCAGTTATGTCCTCAATAAGAATAGGATTACTAATTTTATGGACAATACAAACATCAACAAAGTCACCACCTTTCAATGTATTAAGAAACTTTAACACATCAGTATCTGTTTTTAAAATGTAATAATTCCTAGCAAACTTGTGAAACAACATAATATGCAGCTCATCAATATCAACTGTAGCTAATTGAGGACAAGTTAGTCCATTTGCACACCTTAGCTCAGGGTCCGATACAAAATTACCGTTGTGGTAGATTTGTAGGTTAACTAGGCTTGAAGCCATTTTCTTCTCATACCTATAAAGTAACAAAAAAAAAACAGTGTTATCAATGATTATTTGTTATCAAAAGTTGCACCTTTACACAACTCCATAAACAAACCAACAAAAAGACCGATTTTTTAAGTAAAAAAGCTTTTAAGATTCCTTTTTCGTCCCCACAATACCGTATAATATTCATAAATACTCTGGTGCACCACTGACAAAAACGAGACCCAACAAACTTCACAAAAAAATGCATAAATATAAGATGAAATTCTGATTTGACAAAAAAAATCCATAAACTAAACGAAATAACCCAACATGCCATTACATGCAAGAAACTACATTAAAAAGGGGTTTCACTTCAAAATGTAACGAAACATAGCAAAAGCCCCATATATTGAGGAAAATGAAACAACAATTACTGTCTAACCTAGCCTTCCTCTAAAAATCATAAACAGAGCAAAGGCCCCATATATTGAGGGAAATGAAGATCAATAAAGACAAAAGATGAAGAACAGATGAAGAAACTTACCCCACAAACTTTGATAACAACTGCGATGATGAAAATCCCAGCAACGATGACGGAGAAGAGAGGAGAGACAGAAGTGGTTCGATACTTTCTAAGCCATAACTAAGAGGGTAAGTGTAAAATGATGGAAAAATTTGTGTTTGGGTGGGTGGGGTAGGGGGTGGGGGGTTAATAATCATTTCCCGTTTTATTTTCCTATATGGCCATAATAAATGACCTGGAACCTACGTGGTTTAATTTTCTTGACGTGGCATCCTACGTGTAGGAGATTATATTACACATACTGGTATCCTCCTGTCATAAGCGTTTATTATACACGGTTTGAAGGAGTGTAAGTGTTCAATTGGTAAATTGTTAAGTTTGGGGACCGACATGACAAAATGGCACAAGTATAGGTGACATTTAGGCCATTCTGCCTTCTTCTTTAACAAAAACAAAAGCATGCAGTCCGGGTCAGAGCTAGCGTGCAGGATTCGGGTTCGGGCGAGCTCAGTAGTTTTGATCTAAATCTTGTATTTGGTTTAAGAAATTTACTAAATATTATAAATTATCTATTTAGAACCCAGTAACTTAAACGGACTATTATCCGGAACCCATAAACTTCAAATCCTGACTCCGCTACGCACGCAGTCATTTTTCTAATTTCTTTTTATATAGTACTAAATATACCAAGAATGATTTAGTATTTATTACTTTGAATTTTTCAAATTTATAACTTATAAGAACAAAGAGGGCCGTACTCTCCACTTTTCTTTCATTATTTCACATGCTCTCAACGGTAACATTGGCAAACCCTCTCTTCTCTCACGTGAATATCAAATTTGGGTTACTGTTCCGGCCATGGCCTCCTCCATTCAATGGACCCAATCGTCCCCCCTGATCCCCCGCCTTTAAACCCCACCCAGATTCCAACAACATCTCTTATCCCAAATCAAAAATTCTTTAGACCCCAACCCACAAATATTAGTAGAATTTCTTTTTCTAATCAAAATTCTCCAAACCCCTGGACCCATATTACTGCTAATAAAGCTGCTAGCTCTCAAAGCAATGGCGACAATTCTTACATATGTGCCATAGGAATCAAAACCCCAAAACCAAGGAGCAGAATCCGACTCCCTCCCAGATCTTACGAGCTAATTAACAGCAAACCAATGGTAAGTTTTACTAAGGAGAAAAATGATATCTTGGCTCAGTCATGAAAATGGACTATAGTCGGTAAGTTTTCTAAGATACGTCCCTCAATCGACATTATTAGGAAGGAATTCGCGAAAGTATTTTCTGGGAAAGGTTGCATAACCATTGGAGCTTATGACATGAAACATGTATTTATTGATTTTGATAACTTAGATGATCACAATGCAGTAGCTACTAGAAGTTTTGTAAATTTGGGTGGTGATTTTGTGATGAGTCTTGAGAAGTGGATCACAAAATTTAAACCGGAACCTAATACCACCAGAGTTCCGGTATGGATCACACTTCCTGATCTCCCATGGCATTTCTATGAGTGGGACGCAATATGTCGTATAGTTGATCCTATAGGTTTTTCTTTGGTTTTGGACAAGGCAACAACCACCAAAACAAGACCCACTACTGCAAAGATTAGAATTGAAATTGACCTTGCAAAGCCAATTTTAAATGAGGTTATTATCGAGATCAGGAGCCTTGAGGGCAATATAGAAGAATTTATTCAGAAAGTTGAATACGAATCACTACCTGTATTTTGCAATCATTGTATGAGTCAAGGACATTCAAATAAAATGTGTAGAATTTTACATCCAGATTTGAGAGTTCAAAATAACAGCGAGGTTAATGAGCAAACCAAAAGAAATGATACTAATCAAAATGAAAATGTGAGAGCAGTTAGGAGAAATGAGCATAGAAGAGAACAGGGCAGGCCTCAGAATGCTGGACAGACCAATGGCAATTCTAACGCTGCTGTAAAATCCACGGGTAACAGACCAGCTAACAACAACAGTGTTACTAATATTGACAAAGGAGCTGAAGATGGTTGGCATATTGTTAATAAAAGAAATAATAGAAACGATGCTAACAACAATCATGCTTCTATGACAACTCAAAGGGGAATGATACTAACACCGCTACCATGATCAATGATGGACAAAGTACTGTGATTGTCACCCACAACAACAGTGAAGGTGAAGTGAATATGGAAGTGATCCCAGCTACTACTTCTTTGATCCCTCAAGCTCAGGCCAAACACACAATAAGGGACAAATACAACAGTAACAAAGACAATAAGAAGAAGTCAAAATTACTTACTATCAACAAGGCTGGTAAAAAGACATATCAGGGAAAGGAGGCTGAGTACCCAGAGATTGAGTTGAGCAGTGATTTTGTCGATAATGAAAATGACATCATGAATACTTCACTAGTGAATATAAAGCTAGAGGAAATAAAGAAGACGAAAAAGAGAGGGAGAAAGTTTAAAGAAAAAATGATCATACCAGGTGATGTTGTTCTAACAAGTGACATAGATCAGGAAAATTATAGCTTGGTGTATAGACCACTCTTTGGCCTTGACCCCAAACTTGGTGAGAAATATGCTAGATGGAAGGATAGAGAAATGGGGCTTGAATATCAACTGCTAGATGAACCACCAAGAATCATTGATCCAGGAGAAAATAGACAGATGGCCTTGGGTGGGGAAGCAAATGCTATCAGTGATCCCCAAGACCATGATATGATTATGGAAATACCATCTGAAGATAAGAAAAACTCTTTATCCAATGATGATCATATGACAAGGAGGTATCAAAGTGTCAAATGCAATCCTGTGATTACCTCCCAAGTCCGCCAAAAAATTATTCAATTCAACAATCTCTCTCCAAAAGGACTTGGTGATCAACTAGGTGAGATCAATTGGGCTCCTAACAGTAGGAATTCAGAAGAAATTTCAAAGGCTCATGGGTAACAAAACTCAAATATTTCAAATGATTAGTTGTTTATCATGGAACATTAGGGGCATAGGGTCCCAAGGTGTTGCGGAAAGGCTCAAAATCATTAAAAACCAGTACAACCTTCCTTTTTATTTTCTTGCAGGAACCCATGGTGAGAGCAAGAAAGATTGAAAAGTATAAAAGAATGATTGGATACCAAGAGTGTTTTCACAATTGTTCCAACAAGATATTGGTCTTTTGGTCTGCTGATTACAAGATCAATGTCCTGGATGATAAAGAACAACAAGTTTTACTCCA